AATGTAAAGCAAGGAGGGGGGGGGGAAGGAGGGAAAGAGAAAGGGGAAGGAAAGAGGAGAGGGAGAGAGAGAGAAAGGGGAAGAGGAGAGAGAGAGAGAAAGGGGAGTGAAAGAGGAGAGAGAAAGAGAGGGAAAGAGAAAGGGGGGGAAAGAGGAGAGAGGGGGAGAGAAAGGGGAGTGAAAGAGAAGGAGAGAGAAGAGAGGGAAAGAGAAAGGGGAAGAGGAGAGAGAGAGGGAGAGAAAGGGGAGTGAAAGAGGAGAAAGAGAGGGGAAGTGAAAGGGGGAGGGAAAGAGGGGAGAGGGGAGAGAAAGAGAAAGGGGAGGGAAAGAAAAAGAGAGAGGGTGATAGAGAGGGGGAAAGAGAGAGAGAGCAAAAGAGAAAAGGAAGAGGAGAGAGAGAGAGAGAAAGGGGAAGGAAAGAAGAGAGGGGGAGAGAGAGAAAGGGGAGTGAAAGAGGAGAGAAAGAGAGGGAAAGAGAAAGGGGAAGAGAGAGAGAGAAAGGAGAGTGAAAGAGGAGAGAGGAAGAGAGGGAAAGAGAAAGGGGGAGGGAAAGAGGAGAGAGAGGGGGAGAGAAAGAGAGAGGGGGAAAGAGAGAGAGCAAGAGAAAAGGAAAATAGAGGGAGAGGGAGAAGGAGAGGGAGAGAGAGAGAAGCATTGGCTAAATTAAGCAGAGAAGGGAGAGAACCAACTTGGGGGGCAGAGGGGGGGGCAATGGCCTCTCAGAGCCCTTGGAGGGAGCTGGGGGTGGATGGGCACTCCTGGTGCCCAGCCAGGCTGCCCTGCATTGTTCCTGCTTGCCAGCCTCAAGGGTGCCACTTCCGGGAACGGGGACTCTTCCAAGTGGATCTGGGCCAACAGCCGCCTGATTTGGGGGCAGAGAAAATTGGGGGGGTGCCAATCACCAGAGGGGGGTGAGAGATGGTGCAAAGGGGGGGGCACCTTCACTCTCTGGGTGCTGATTTTCCTGGCGATCAAAGGCCTCTTTTCAGTGGAGGAGGGGCGAAGTGAAAAGGTTTATGCCCCCCTCCCCACCGAGGCTTCTTCCTCCCAAGCATCCCTGCCCTGCCTGAAGACCCCCTCCCCAAAGGGAGAAACCACCAGGAGGCAGCATCCACTGGCCTTCTGCCTTCTATTAGGCTGGCATCCAAGCCCCAACGTAGCCCATCAATGCCCAGAAGGTTCTCAGGGACGCCTCTGTCCTTGCAAACAGGCCAGCCAGGCGGGGGTCCCAGGTCTGCCCTCCCTCCTGACCCATAAGAGGGGCCGGGTATGGCAGGAAGGTCATGGGGGGGGGAACCAAATTGGAGTCGGGCGGGCACCGTCTCCAGGCGCCCCAAGGAACCCTTAAAACCCTCACAGCCTCCTCCTGCCCCCCCAACTCAAAAATCCAGACGCTTGGCAACTGACTCATATTTATGACGGTCCCTGTGTCCCGGGGGGGGGTGTCACAGGACTCCCTTTTGCGACCTCCTTGACCAGCAAAGCCCACGGGCGAAACCAGACTCACTTAACGGCCGTGCGGCTAATGTTAACAATTGCAGCGATTCACTTAACAGCCGTGGCCAGGAAGGTCCCCTAAAATGGGGCAAGACTCTCTTAACAACCGTCTCGCTTAGCGTCATAAACTTTGGGCCTGATGGTAAGTTGAGAGGCACCCGTCCACTGGGGTTGGTGACGGGCAGCCTGCGGCAGGAGTCCCACAGGGGAGACAGACGCACAGCCCCTCTCCCAGCCCCACTGCGCATGGGTGCCTCCCTCCCCACAGCCAGCCGTGCATGTGTGGTGTGGTGTGGTGTGTGTGTGTGTGTGTGTACACATGCGGGAGACAGGCGTGCATGTGGGGGGGGGATGGGGCGCCCCCATCATGGCCTGTTTTTGGGCTACGAGGCCCAAAAGGCTGCAGGGGGAGGGGTGTTGCGTGTGCATGCGTGGAGGGAGGGGGCAGTGTGGGGGGGGGTTGCAGGGCAGGGGGCATGCAGAGGGGTCAGGAGCGCATTGCATTATGGGTGCAGGTGCGGGAGTTTCTGGCACCTGACGACAGAAACGTTAAGCCATCACTGATTTAGGGACCCCCCAACACCCCAAAGTCACCTGAACCTCCTTCACAGGAAGAGCCACCTCGTTCGTGTGTGTGTGTGTGTGTGTGTGTGTGTGTGTGTGTGTGTGAAGGTGCTTCTGGGTGAGGTTTTTATGAATCCCTGGGGGGGGGACCCACCTGCCACCTTCCCTGACTGGACAAATGACCAAACCAGGTCACAACAAGCTTTCAAGCAGAGACCGGACTGCCATTGGTCAGCCATGGGGTAGGGTCTCCTGCTGGGGTAGGGGGCTGGATTAGATGACCTCCAAGGACCCTTCGGATTCTGTTAATCTGTTATCTGACACCCCCTCCCCGGCCCCTCAATAATTTCCACAGTGCCCTCCCCCCCAACTGACTGCGGGAACTGGAGCCACCTTTATTTTAAGACACTCACACCACCACACCCACCTTCACACACACACACTTTGCAAGCGCCAGGTGACTCATCCGCAGGTCAAAAGTCCCACCTGGCTGCAGGGATCACCAAAGGGAGGGGGGGGAAGCCAACTCCCACCCCCCATGCAAAGGTGGATACAGCTGCGTTTGGGAGATTGGCTGATTCTCACCCCTTTGGGGAGGGAAGAGGCCCAACCCCCCCCAAGGACCCCCCTTTCCCAGCTATGTGGCACCCCCCACCCCCACTGTTTCCATGGGGGGGGGGGTTAATGAAAATGAGATGCAGAAGGGGCTGTCTTGGGAAGCCCAGCGTGGAGGGGATCAGATAGGATACTAAGGGGGGGGGATTAGCAGAAACCCCCCCAACTCTGGAAGTCCCATCCTTCTGCAATGCCCCTCCCCCAAGGGATATTGGGTGGGGGGGGGGGAGAGGCTGTTCTTCTGCATCCCTTTCTCTCCAAAGCTTCCTTCCCAGGCAGGGGGGGGGGGCAGGGCCAAAGGGGGCATCTACTTTGCCTTCTGTGACTGCAACCCAGGCTGGGCATTGCCCCAGATGCTGCCCGCTGGTTGGGCCTAGACTGGGCACAAGGAGGAACAAAAGACTGGCAAATTCTGGGGGGGGGCACAAGCATGGCCCTCCAGAGCCCCCCCCCCGAAAGCAAGTTGAGAGCGAGAAGTGGGCTCCAGAATGGGCCAGAGGTGCCCCCTGCCTGAAAACAGCTGGAGAAATGTGCCAATTGCCTTCAGTTGGTGGGGGGGGGGCATGTGCCCACGAGGAAAACTGCCAAGCTGAGCAGCCTCTGGAGAACTTTGACCCTGAAGCTATTCTCCTTCTCCCTCCTTCCTTTAGCCCCCACCTGCCCCCCCCCAGGTGGAAAACAGGCCATCCCCCCCCCCCCAGGAGACTGGTGGGAACTTAGCCAAGGACTGTCCGGTGGGCAGAAAGGGGAAGGCAAGGCCAGGGCAAAGCAGCAGCACCCTTGGGAAGGCCCGGCAGACAGGCCGACCATTCAGGCCTGCCTCATGAGGACTAGCGTCTTAACAGAGTCAGCAGCCCAGCAGAGGCTTCCTTAGAAGGTCTGCCCCGTTTTGCAGAAGGCAAGGGGGGCTCTGGAGGGGCAGGGGGCACGGCGGAGGCGCGGAGGCTATCCAAGTGCTGAAAGCAGCCAGCGGGCAGACGTACCACATCACCCACTCAAGAGGAGCCACAGATTGACCGGGTGGGTCAGTGGCCCTTCCCTGGAACAGGAGCCACAGCAGCCGAGGCTCAGAGGGGAGGGCAGGGGGCCTGGGCAAAAGAGGGGCAGGGGGCTCCCTGATGACCACTGGGGCATCCAGTTCGGTCCCCACCGTCTCCAAGTAGGGAAAGTCCCCTCCTGCTTGGTGCAGAGTGCGAATGCAACTGCTTTTGAGGCTGCTGCTTCTCCCTTGAGATTCACACCATGAGGTCTGGAAACTTGTGGGGGAGGAAGATGGTCTTTGCCAATCCAGTGGCAATCAGCTCTCAGGAACCTATCTGGTCTTGCCCATGCCAACCCCCAGCCCCTCCTTGGTCAGGGAACATGGAAAGGCCGTTGGGAAAGCAAAGGAAAAGAGGGCTTCCAGTGCACAATGAGAACTGGTGCCTTAGCTTCAGCACAAGAGTTTGATCTGCAGGGTCTTGGGAGACCTCTGAGGACCACAGCTATGGGGAAGGGGTCTCTTTTGGGCGACCCTGGGCAGGGGGTGGGATGCCTCTAGCTGACCCCAGACCTTCAACACTCCAACCTCAGGAGGGAGCCCCCCTCGCCTCTTTCCCAATGGGGGTGGTAGGAGAAGATTGAGGGGGGAGACTCCAGTTAAGAATCCCCCCATCTCCCCAGGAATCCTTGGGGGGGGGGGCTGGGAGAGCAACGTGGCCCAGTTTTGACCCTCTAAGACCCTGAACTGCCCACTCGCTGCTCCCCAAAACTGCAGGTCCTCTTTGCCCCCAGAGTCCTCACCCAGTCAGACCCCCAGCTGGGCTTCTTCCAGGCTGGGCCAAGGGAGCCAGCTGGGGCCCCTCCCCCTGCGCCCCACCTGAGCTGCCCCCCCCCCGCAGAAGATCAAGGCCCCAGCGCAGGCCCCTCCCTGGACGCAGCGGCCCAGCAGGGACCCTCCCCAGCCAGGCCAGCCGGGGCCACAGGTGCCTTAAGCCTCACGTGGCCTCAGGTGCGCCCGGGGGGGACGGACGAGGAGGCAGCCGGGACCCCCAGGCCATCTGCGGCACAAGCAGCTCCACGTGGCCCAGCCGGGCGGCAGGTGCGGGCGGGCGAAGCACCTGCAGCGCCGGGAGGCGGGGGGGGGGGCGTCACGGGGCCCGAGGGGGGTGCACTGGCGCTGGCATCCCCGCTCCGGAGCCCCCCCCGCTCGCCAAGCCCCCCGGGCGCCCCCCGTTGACGACCGGCCATTCCTGGGGGGCTGCTCCCCCCCCCGTCGGCATGGCCCTCCATCCGCGAAGGGAGGAAGGGAGGGGCCGCCCGCCGGGCAAAAAAAGTCCCGCAGCCGCCCAGGCCAAGGAGCCGAAGAGGCCGCGGCGAGGATGGCCGCCTCCCCCTCCCTCTCCCTCCCTCTCTCCCTCCCGCGAGACCGGCCCTCCGCCGCAGCCCCCCCGCCGCCGCTCCTCTCCAGGCCGGCCGCAGAGGCCGCCTCGCCCCCGCCTGCCCCCCTCCCTCCCTCCGCAGCGGCGCGGCCTGGCCGGAGGGCGAGTGGGGGGGGGGCGCAGGCCGAGCCCCCCG